ATCTGGCATTTCTCCCCCTGCTATCCCCCCCAGCTCCCCACCCCCCACCGTCCCTCCCCCATTTCCCCCCAACTGACCCCAGTGTGTAGTGCTCCGAAGAGGATATTTTTATTTGCTAAGGAGAATTTACTGTCAACAGAGACCTTTCTATCCAGCTAAACTATCATTCAACAGCAAAGAGATGTTTTTAGATATTAAAATATATACAGCTGAAACTGTTAAAAAATTTAATTAACTCTTGAAAGTTAAAAAAGATTACTGTATATGTTTGAAAGGCAAAAGTGAAACTCCAAATCACAGTGACAAGATTTTTTTGGGGGGAAGGGTTTTTAATGACTAATTAAAAGGTACTAAAATCCCCAAATGTGTTTGGGAGGAGAATAAAAATACAAAATACCGGCTGGGCGTGGTGGCTCATGCCTGTAACCCCAGCACTTTGGGAGATCGAGGTGAGCAGATCATGACGTCAGGAGATTGAGACCATCCTGGCCTGTTGGTGAAACTCTGTCTCTACTAAAATACAAGAAATTAGCCAGTCATGGTGGCGTGCACCTGTAATCCCAGTTACTCGGGGGGCTGAGGCAGGGGAATCACTGGAAGCCGGGAGGCAGAGGTTGCAGTGAGCTGAGATTGTGTCACTTCATTCTAGCCTGGCAATGGAGCAAGACTTCATCCGGAAAACAAGACAAAACAAAACAAAACACTACAAAATACCTTGGGACTTAGTTTAAAAAATTGTCATGTACATTAAAACTTTTAAAATAATCACTAAAGGAACAGAAATACAATCTACTGCTTCCACACAAGCAGCCGGCAGGTGAGGGCAGGGGAAGAGGGAATATAGACAACTTTATCCAACAAAAGGCAGGGAAGAAGAAAATAAAATGATATTTAACAGAAAGCACAAAAAATAACAGGTTAAAAAAAGTTCAAATATATTAGTATTTACAAAAAATGATATTGCACTTAATGGAAAAATAGAGCAGGAAAAAATAAATCAAGATAGGTAAAATCTCAAAAACATAATGTTAAAACAAATGGTAAGTTTCATAATGGTGCTTACAATCTAATACCATTTCTATAAAGTTTTAAACCTGTGGGACAATGTTTCAGTGCTTTTGTATTAAGAATATTAAAATATATATGAAAATTCATGCTAGGGTTTATCTGGAGAAGGAGGAATGGGAAGCGGAAGAAAAAGGGTTTATACAGGAGGATGCAGTTTTATCTGAAATGCTTTATTTTTAAAATAATGGAAACATTTAAAACATAGGTTTAAAACTATCAATAGTGGTTATTTCTAAAAACTGGGATTTCAAGACAAGTAAAGAAGGTAGATAACACTTTTACTTTTTACTGTATTGTTTCATTTTTTAAGTACATGTATTTAATTTTATAATTAAACCATCAAGACTAAAACAAACAATAGGCAAAGTTTTAGAAAACTGAAGAGAGAAAATAAGTTAAACTGCACAGTCCAATCTTGCTACTTAACAACCACATGAATTCACCATGTGGCTTCTGGACAATTCTTTTCAGAGAGAAGAAACCAGACAGTGGGCTGAAAGGTGGGAGGACTGAACTTTGAAAACAGAATGAAGCTTATAGAAATTAAAAAAAAAATCATCTCTGGAAATAGAGTTGTATGTCACATAAATCCTTAGAAGAAAAAAGGATCAGTCTCAACAAAGTGCAAGTCCCTTAGGCTTTTCTCTCCCTGGAAAAAATATCCCTTTAGAAGTCTGTAAATAGCTCTCCAAATTTGCCAAGTTTGGCACAACTGTAAATCAATACCACAGAAAAATTAGCAACATTACAGCATTTCACCATGATCAGCTTGACTCCTGACTTAATGTACTTAAGAAAAACCTACTGTTTAGTGTTCTACTTCCCTCTTTTGTGGATTTCACCCTCATGCCTTTCGTGGCCATTGTGTGCTTCAGTGTGGTAGTAGCTCAGATTTAGCTTGTGTGCACCCACTCTTCTTCCTTTCCA